CACACACACACACACACACACACACACACACACACTCACACAGACAGACAGACAGACAGACAGACACACACATCCATTCATATATATCCTGAAAATGAGGTGAGAATGGTACTGAAAAACACGAAAGTGAGGTTGGTTGGGCGTTTTGAAGAAGGTTTAGAGAGAAGTACATGACTAACCATTACTAAACATCTCATCATCGCTGGTCTGTCCTGCTTTAGCGTACAACACTCCAAACTTAAAATTCACTGATCCCTGAATGAAAAACAAATACATAAAACCTTCAATTAAACTTGTATAACACACGGGGTTCGTGCTACATTCTCGTTACAAAATTCAAGGACTTTTTAAGCACTTTTCAAGCACAAAAATTCGAGTTTCAAGGACAAAGTTTTTTGTATTAGAACGTGGTTTTAAACATTGATTCAATGTTAAAGTGCAGCTAATTCAGCCGGGGCCACTAGCTAAGATAAAAAACGAGCATGACACGCAACCAACCAGTAAACAAGCAACCAGAAACTCTTCAATCAATTTTAATCGTTATTTATTTCAAAAGGAAAGTTAGAAATAGCATTAAGTTTGCATTAAATTCAAGGAGTATTCCAGGAATTTTGGCGTTTTCCCCTATTTTCAAGGGCTTTTTAAGCGCCCTTAAAAACGTGTTTTCAATTCCAGGACTTTTCAAGGATTTCAAGGAGTAGCACGAACCCTGTACACAGATTTAACGGATCAAGGTATTGAAGTTTTCTCTTGCGCTTATATAAAAAGAAATCGAAAACTGTTTTGCAGTTGATGGGGGAAAAGCAGCGGTTTTTCGTAGTTTTAAAAGAAACCTCACCTCTTGTTCTTCAAGCGTTAAAAGCTCCTAGAAAAATATAATGTCATGATGATTACTATGGTTACAAACTAGAAAAAAACCTTGCTATGGAACTTATCACTATGGTTACTAGAATCGTTACTATGGTTACTGTGAGTAGTTACCTGTTGAAATTCTGGACTGAGAACCTCTTTTGGTCCTTTTTCACACTTCTCGATACCGAACGATCTGCGAGAAGAAAAAAAAGCGTTACAAATGAATTTAATACGAAAAAATATTATAAATACAGTTACGTGATAATAAAACAAAGATTGCTAGTCTTATTCTTGTTCTAGCTAAAGTAATTTTTGCTGTTTTTTTAATACAAATTGACATTTTTACTGATATGGTGGCCATCTTGGATTATGGGATGTCAAGGGAGCAACTGAATATAATATATAAAGCAAAAGCGCGAGGTTATGTTTTCAAGTAATTTGAAGTCTTCGTGTTTGAAATATTTTTTCAACTAAAAAAATTTGTTAATTGCTTTTTCGATGTGCTTCTCATTGAACAGTGTAAAGTTATATTAAAATATATCCTGACATCTCGGTGCAGTCTATAAATTTTTTCAATAGTGGAAGATTTGAGAGAAGAAAAACGAGGAGCCGTCAGTATTTTTTAGGAATAAAAACGCTGAATTTGTATCCGCTACTAACTTACTGGATAATGACTTTTGGTGAAACAGGTTTGTTTGCATAGTAAGGAATACATTTCTTTTCGCTGCCCTACAAAGAAAAATATATTATCAAAATACAAGAAGAAAAAATTCAGAGTCGTTAACTTGTCATGTGTCATAGAGTAGATTTGGTATGAACTGTAGAACGTCATGGCGCATGGCAAAGTTGAACCAATCACAGCGCGCGATATCATCCGGGTAGTCTCCTTGTTCTCCAGTTTTTTGTCTATTCGCAAAAGCTAACAAGCTAAATTCCAATTCGATTTGTGAGTTAGCCATGCCCTGACTTAGATCAACCCAGAGGTTGTTTCAGGGTTTGATCTGTGAGTTAGCCATACCCTGAATTAGATCAGCCCAGAGGATGTTTCAGAGTTCGATCTGTGAGTTAGTGGCGCCCCGACTCTGATCAGCCCAGAGGTTGTTAAGGGTACCGATAAGAGTTGAATTTCGGTACTTACAGTTTTCTTCCACAAGATCGCTCTGTACTGTGGTACATCGTAGTTATCTGCTGCGGTTAGGCATATTGATAATATAAAAGGATTCTGTTTGCCATCCACTCCAATGTAGTTTTGATGAACTAAAATGATAATCAGACAATATGTTAACTTCCTTTCCTTCCTTCCTTCCTTCCTTCCTTCCTTCCTTCCTTTCTATCTTTCTTTCTTCCTTTWTGCCTGTCCGGCTKTSTGGCTSCCCCCCCCCCCCCCATTACTTTATAGCTATTGGGTTACCCTTGCCAAATTCTACTCTATAAGTTCAATCATCCTTAACATGGATTACCTTTGCCCAAGTAGTACTTGAAGTACCATCGTGTTTGGAACTCAGGGTTTTCCAAATGAACCACACTTCCTTGACTTGACGTTGGACTTCCGTTCTGACAACAAAAATAATGAATAAATAGATCACAAATATATTATACTTATAAACTAGTGTCGCGCAGTCGCGCGAAACATATTAACGACACGAATATACCTTTTTCTCAAGGTTGCGCGCTCATCCAAACTTAAGAAATTTGACGGGCCACGATACCAGAACAAGGATTTTTATAATGAGAATTATCATACATCTCTATGAGAGTTTTCGATAGGAATTCATAAAATCGATTCTTCTTCTAAAACTGGCTTCTCAATTTTACTGAATTTGCGTTTTTTAGTTTTGTGGCTCGTCAAGATTGGAAGCGCACGCAATCTTGAGAAAACGGTCTATTGCTTCGTGTAAATCGACAGTGCGACTTGCTTACGAATATAAATGACACCTAAAACTTGGAGTAGGCATAATGCGCGCGACTGAGTTGTTAGGATAAAATCTTGCCGTGTAAAATAAGCCTTAACAAATCGAGTCCCTTTTACTATTTACCTGCAGGCCTCCGATTTCTCCGCTTTCGATGCGAAACTTCGGCGTTACTCCAGACGTTTCGTAGTTACCATTCACCGTGTTCAGCTGCGAAAATACGAATGAAAATCAAACGTGTTATGTCGTTAATCAGGTAACCATGGTAATGATGGTAGTTTCTTCGGTCATAATTTACACAGATCAAGCTCTCTGTGAGTACACAGGAACCCCAAAAGCTAAAGTTACCTTTGGCAGTAGCTGATGTATCTCTATACTTACAGTTTCCAGGGAACCATAGTAATGTCTTCTACTCAATCCTGGTCTCCTACCAACATCAGGAGATGGAACACTACAATGAATAAATAGAGAATATAAGTATATGTAATAGGACTCCATGCTGTCTAATTAAGAAGTAATTGGACGAGGAAAATTCCGAGGACTTACAAAATTGGATGATGCCGTAGGCCGAGTCCAATTTGGTAGTCAGAGGAATTTTTCAAGTCTAATTATTTCTTGATTGGGGAGCATGAAATCCCATTACCTATTAATTATATAGCTGCCTAATTAATCCCATATCAACAAGACCCGTCCAATTAAGAAAATAATTGGACAGTTACCTCTATGGGATTAATGAGAAGCTGTAAAATTAAATTAAATAATTGCATTAATTTATAAATTTTAATTAAGGTTCTTATATATTTTCACACAAACGCGTGGCAGCCATGTTGGTGAGTACGGCAACGAGATATAACGAGATTTTTTTGCTAAATGTACCAAAAATGGGTGCCACAGGTCTTCTGTCTCTAAGTTCGAGAATCACGATGCATTATGGTCTAGCTTGGGAACCAACAAGACCGTATAGAAAAAAAAAAAAAACAAAGATACAAGACCATATAGGGAATGATGAATAAAAGATGTATATACCAGGATTATTTCATCAAGAATCGGAGATTGGAAAAACCTTCGGTAAATGAACAAAATTCTCCGGGCTTAAACTATCATATTCTCCTCAGTATTATGTTCCTACTATAAACAAAGTTTGAACCCAAGCTGGACCAAAACGCACCACATTCGCTATCTTAGAAATGGCCTACAACGTAACGAAGACACAAGGAACTACTTAGTAAAGTTATCTTTAAATCGAAGCGGGCTTAATCTATAATAATAATCATGTTAGCCTACTGATTGACATCTTAATAATAACCCAAGATCAGGAGTCAGACTAATGGACGGAAGCTTTTTTGAAAGCAAAATAAGCTTATCTGAAAAAACGTTTTAAGTTAATGTGTACAATCATTGAGATTATATCCGAATGCATTACATCCGGGATATCTTTTTTTATTTTTCTTAGGGATTGGCCAATCAGAGACCATTTTGTTTATACTTTGATACTTGCTAGGTCCAGCCCTTTACTTAGACAAACGGCAAACACTCTTACTTAAAAAAAGAGAACATCCGAAACGACTAAAATACTATCTCCTCAACAAAAACAAAAAAACAACCACAAAAAACAAAAT